GGAAAAAAAAAAAAAAAATTACACAGAACATCTAGGTTCTGCTTTTATAAACATCTACATTCAGAAGTGTTCTCTATTGAAACTCCATCATAAAATTACGGAAAATTGTAAGTAAAATTAAATGTTTGAAACCTTCAGACTATCCCTTAATAGCATGATTAACTAAAAAAATGGACGATTTACTAGAATCATCTCCCCACCCCATTTCTTTGTCAGATTCTGGACAGTCTTTCAAGTGGCAACAGGAACAATTTAGATTAATTGCACTAATGACCTTAGTACTCTCCAATTTTATGGGTGAATGACCAACAGAATAGATAACAACAGATTCATGCTTTCAACTTGAGAAATGGACCCACACATTCAGGTGATGATGAGCAACGTTTTGCATAGGCACAAAAATCCACCTGCAGGTTCACTCGCGAGACTTTTTTTGGCTCAGAAAGCCACTTTGAAATTTGATGTGTTAGTCATTGCACAAAACAGCACGAAAGATGTGTCAGGAGCTGAGGCTCACACCTTTTAACATGACCAAGAAATCAGAGCTAAGCCCCAAAAGCTCCATTCCATTTGCTGATGCTTGCAAAGCTCCGGCTGGCACAACTTTCTTCTGAAAAGCCACTTCACCTGTCACTGTTAGGAAACGGAAAGAGGCAGGGCTATCACCAAGCCTATGCAAGGTCCTGCAAGAAAGGACTTGCCTCATTTCCTTTGACTGCCAGAGAAGATCCAAACCTTTCAGACACATATTACCACTAATACCCTTTATTGCTCGTATTGCTGCACGTTTCAAAAAGACAGAGCATACTCTGAACTACTCACATGGGATGACATGATTAAAAAGCAGCACTGAAGAGAATTTTAAACTCAAATTGTTGCTCTGAATTCTGTAAAAGTAATATTAAAAATTAACTATGTATAAGCGGGCACAGATCTCAAAGATGACTGGTGAAAAGACTTAGGAAGGAATTAATACATACTTAGCAACTAAGGTAGAAACAGTAGGGGGTGGGGGTAAGAAATAAACCTATCTATTTCACCCTCCCCAAAACTCCTAATGAGATATAGCAGCAGCTTTAAGAAATCATCAGTCCTATTGTTGTGATGTTGCTATAACGTGGAACTTCCCACAATTAATGTATAACAGAGACTTATTTTTAAATAACTTTTAAATGGTTAACTTCCCAGGGGTTGGAATACCAGGGACAGAACTCCATAGGTCATATTTTCTCATGCTCTCTGCTCTAAGCAAATGAGTGCAGCTATTTACAAATCAAGTCATGACTTTAAATCAGATTTTGAAAACACGATGGAGAATGGCGATGAAAAATTTTGGGAACTATTAATCTCAGCTTCCAGTCACACCACTGTTTTATGAAAAGGCAACATCAGAGCGCACCCCGCAAACGACAGTAAACTATGAAGCAAAGGAAGAACTATCACAGGCTCTGAAATGTTTACGATGGATTATTCCTTTGATCAGTTTATGTAAAGGACCACATACAATCATCAAACCAAATGCATACAAAGTTCCAGCATACCCCACTCATTTTTCTCCAGGAAGTAACAGCGCAAAAGATACAAGATGCAAACACAGCATACTATTTCATACCAGCCCATCTCACCCACCAAATTAAATCTCTCCCACAAGACAAACAAGGACCATCCAAATATTTGTTGTACGCAGAAGCAGGAACCAGGAAGAGCAGTATGCACAAGAGCAGAACAAGACTGAACAAAATCAAGAACACCCTTACCTGAACTGAAGGTGCTGGCTCTTGAGATTGCTTACTGGTAGTTCCTTGGAAAGATGCTAAAGCAAAACTGTCAGTCTTGTGTAATACTGGACCATCAATCCTGGCAGACGCATCTGTCCTATGTGACTGCCACGTCTCTTTTCTGTGATGAGATTCACCAGCTTGCTCATCTCCGAAGGCAGCCCAAGAACAGCTGTCTTTTTGTTCATCTTCAAAAGCATTCCAGTCTGTAGCCTGGTTACAACCTGCTGAACTGAAGTCCGCAAAGTCATCAGAGTCCTGAAAAGCAACAGTCTCATCTTGAGGTTTTGGCACTGAATCAAAGTCTCCAAATTCACAATCGTCACCATTTTCTACCTCAGTAGTATGCTGGAAGTCTAAGCCAGAAGTTTTACTGGTAGTATCACATTCTAAAGTGTCAGCAGTCTGATTTAGTTCAGCTTGATCCAACCTTGCTGGCTGCTGAGAAACAGTACTTGTGTCCCTGAATTCACCAAATTCATCATTAGGTTCACCAATATGTGCGGGCTGTTTGGAAGTTCCTTCTAAATCTAGAGCATTTATCGATTCTTGAGCATTAATGAAGGTGGGAGATGCATTGCTGACTGAACCAAAATCACCAAAATCATCGTCATGTGCGTCACTGCAAGCTACAACTTCAGTATGACTTCCACCATTCTTAAGATCTTCAGAATCACCCAGTTTTTCTCCTGCAAGATCACTGCTTAGGCTTCGGATCTCATCAACCTTGATGTCCTCTGTTCGTGAAGAGTCATCAGGCCTAGTAAAATCTTTGCCATTCTCTGTGCCGTGTTGTCTTCTCCTCCCACTGCATTCTCCATTTTCAGTAGTGCATATTGAACTTCCAGTTATTCGAGACATACTAGAAATTGCAAATTCATTATCTTCCAGTGCTGAGGGACCCTGTTCACAACTGATTTCTGAAATGCAAACCTCTTCTTCATTACAAGTTACTCTGTTTATTCTGTTGTTCTCCTGAATGCTCAGACAGTCTCTTTCATTAAGAACACTGCGTACTGTAGGTCCTGTTCCCTCTAAATGGATTGGTTTTTTGTTTGAGAATGTAGCAAAATCTGCAAAGTCTTCACCTGAGCTAGGCATTGAGTTCAAATTTTTCTCAGTACTATGAGCACTAACAGTTTTCAGTCCCTTTGAGTCACCGATACTGTCTAGATCTTCTGTTCCCTGAGGATTTACAGGGTCCGATGCTGCAAATCCATTTGTTAGAATCTCTAGACATGGAAGTTTCTCACCATTACAAGCATCTATTTGCTCATCCTGGCTCTCAACTGCTATACCAGTTCTAACGACACGAGAAGAAAAACCCTCCGATTTCCCAGTGTTGTCTCTTTGTTCCCCTCTTTTGTTTACATCTTCTAAAGTAGTACCTGAAGTTCTAAACTTAGATTTTTCTTTGCTGGTACTAGTAGCTGACATATCAGAAAGTTCCTTAGTAAGAGTAGGAAGCTCTGCAATGCAGTCTTTATCTTTAACATTTTTAACAGATGTGAAAGTTGTAATGCTAGCTACATTGTCAGAATAATCATGAAGTGGGATGAAATGATTTGTGGGTATAAACTCCTCCTTTGGATGACTGTAGTCTGGTGTATCAAAATCAGCAAAAGCTACTCCAGCAGTGCTTACACCAGAAAATCCTCCAAATTCATCTTCATCATCATCATCAGCTCCATTGTCTAGTGGTGGAGGGGATGAGGAATACATTCGAATAATATCTGGTTCCATTGTTTAGTTCCACTTCAAAGTTAATGTATTTCTGTAATAGGGAAAAAAAGAAGTATATTAGAATTTGGCTAGCTTTCATCATCTCATTTTTTATTTTTACTGTTTCACATTTTATTTTAAAAGTGTGCGTATAGATCAATGTCCATATTAGATATGAGAAAGGAACATTCCCCAAACCCATTTTCTAACCAACTCTTTTGTTTCAGAAGTCACAAAGAATCTACTGAGGACAGTTCGAGTCTCTTGTAAACTACTACATGATCATATTCTCAGCAGACAGTGCTGAAATGCCAGAACATAAATCATGTTTGTCTTGAGCTGTTGAGCAACACGCCAACACAACTAATCTGAGTTTTAACCCATCAGTTCTCTACCTCCTGTCACCCACAATTCATAAAACAGCCAATGACCCTGGTCCATCTTTTCCCACACTCATTAGTGCGCTCAGCTGTTTGTGCAACAAATTAAGCCACTTGATGGACTATGCCTCAACAGTCATGTACTTAAGGCACCTTCAGACAATAGCTCTGAAGACTCTGAAAGATGCTTCCTTAAGCTTTGAAACAGTGAAGAAGTGGAGGAAGGAACTGCTGTTATAATCACTAGTTATGATTTGCTGCTCTACTGTTTAAGTTTCTTTCTACCAATTAATGGGTTTCTGTTAGGTCTCCCCGTTCTTTGGATTTGATAACTGCAAGCCAACGCGCACTGTCTCCACAGCTGCTGCTGCCAGCCTGCTTTTGTCTTATGAACCGCCAGTTGGGAAATGCCATTATGAGCACCAGCAAAGCCTAGAGCAAAACAAACTTCTCCATCAAAGCTTATTTTCAAAAGCAGAATGGAGCAAGATTATCCATAAAATATTTAAATGCAAATCACTAAATCAGAGGGGAAAAAAAAAAGAAAGTATTCCCATGGCCTAGATAGAAACAGATTAAGAACTCCATCTTAACACTGCAAACCATTACATTAACAAGCAAGGTATGGATAGAAAACTTTCTTTCCTAAAGAGTGATCTTGATTTTTTTCAATATTGTGTGTAATTAATGAAGCAATAACTACTACTATTTATAGATTCACAATTGTACACATCACGTAACCAGTGCATACCTTAGAGCCCTTAAAGGGAGAGCTACAACCAAGCTCTTTCCATTTCAAATGACACTTGTCATGAATAAATTGTAACAACATACCAAACATTATCTACAAAAAAAGAGTGGAAACAACCTATACATATTAGCAAATATTCTGGTGGATAGAAATTCAAATAAGTGCAGACTTTACAATACTAGTTCTGAAACACAGATAAAACATAATCCTTAACTCCAACATCTTTAGCAAACAACTTTGTACATGCACCTAAACAGCAGCACACAAAGGGTGTAACAAGAAGAAATGAAGCTCTGCAGTTCTTCTCAAGCACACCATACCACAGCACTTGAGCCAAACAACTCCTGGTATTTGCCACAGAAGTCTGGCATCTTTAAGGTAACATACTAACATACCTACATTTTTTTTTTTTAAAAGGGTGTTTTGCAGTTATAAAAGAACATCATGCTTATCAGATGAAACCATGAAGTAATTTGTAACATCACACGCAAACTGAAGAAGACTGCAAAGGAATTTTGTTTAGAATAAAGAATAAGTTGTCAACAAGCTCCCACATAGGCTTACTCAGCACCAGCTGCTTAACAAGGTATTTGAGAGAAGAGCTTCACTCTTATCTCAGAGGCCTCATCTCTCAAGCGTACTCTCCCTTTTACACCAAGGTCTAGCAATTGCTGTTTAATGTCATACATGAATGTAAAGATCTTTTCCAAGATGTCTGCAGAGCGTGACTTTGAGTTCCCACTGAGATTGCTCCAACCTGTTCACCTTCCAAGCTTCTGGGTTTTCAATCCACTAAATACGATATTAGCATTTCTTCTTTGTAACTATCAGAGCAGCCATTCCTTCTTTATATCCAAATTTTCCAAGGTCTACTGCAGTCAGCCAACAACACTAAGATTAAACACCCAGTATATCCAGACTACAATTGCCTTCTGAATGTTTTACTGCAGAGGAAGATCCATATGCTATACACAAAGATATGCCCTGGTAGGTGGAAGTGCTGGTTGTTCTTTTGTAGAGAGAGGGGAAAAAAAAAAAAAAAAAAAAAAAAGACCTGGTTAGGTAGATATTGGTATATATTAGCTGTGCTCATCTCAAAGTACCTTATCTTGGTGATAGCACTATTTAAAGCTAGAGGGGAGTTGGTTCAACAGTGAATGGCATTGTATCTGGAATTCATGACTCCTAGGGTCATGAATCAGTAGCTCTTTAGTAACACACTGACATTTATGAGAAAGGACAGAAAACTGCATCAATCGGGATGGGACTCACTCCCCCCCAGTTCCTGAAAAGCAAAAAGATTTCTTGGTTCTGTTTTTTTTTTTTTAATAAAAAAAGGAGTCTGTTTATTTGGTTATAACAAATCATCCCTTGTAACTAAATTTGAGTTCATGAGTCTCCAGTTGAATCTCAGTAGACAATAGCATAAATTTATTATTAAACCTCCTGAAATTTAACAAAATTGTTACACCTATTTGGAAAATTCAGTTGACATGGTATTTTATCACCTTACCCCATGTGACAAAAGCTGAAGAGACTGTAAAGGCAAGAAACTAGTTCTTGAAACAAACAAAAAAAACCCTCAACACTGTTTCAAGTCCAGCACCGACTGGATATAAACCTTCATCATCCCAGAAGTAAAAGAAGCTTGAACAGAAACAATGAAATGGCTGGCAAGAAGGAAGGTGAAAATATGAGTCCTGCAAAAAACACCCCCGATTGGCTTTTGGGGAATAATACCAGAGGGTGGGATAAGCAGCTCCTTGACCAAGACCAAGTACTATGATTGAAGCCATTGCAACCTCAACAGTAATTTTATCACATGATTAGATGTTGTATTTTTTATTAGGCAGAGATGTACAAGCCTTCTAAAACACATCTCTAAAGCCATTTAGAAAGAAAAGATTTTAAAATAGAAAATGACAGTTCTACAGCATGTTGATTTACATTGGAACAAAAAAGCCATATAACTAAACCCACAGAAATTTGAAGCAGAAACGCAATTAAAATCCCTAAATATTTCAATTACTCTCAAACAGGTAGTCTATAAAACATTACATGCTTAAGAAAGTCAAATGCTTGTGTGCGGACACAAGTTAAAGCTAGGAAGTTAACACATTTGATTTTGAAACCAAGACTTCTGAAGTCCACAAGACCCAGTCTTGAAGCTTTCCATGCAGTACGAGTAATAAAGATCAAGTTTAACACAAAAGTATCATACTATATATAAAATAACTCCAAGTGGATACAGATCAGATTTTTCTTCTTTTGAAACAGTTTTAGAATAATCAAGTCATGCAAGCAATTATATTCAAGTAAAAAGGAGATTAAATCCAGGAAGACAAGCCTCCCCTCTCCCAGAAACCTTATTTTTATTGATGAGAAGTCATGAGAAGGGGAGGAAAAGGCTGCAGACAGAAGCAACCTCAAATTTGTTTTCAACTGGCACACCAACTTACAACCCTGTACATAGAGAATGACATTAAAGTATGGTTTTGCTGGTTCAGTAATAAAACAAATCCACATTGTACTCCTACAGCCTAAAGTTTTCTAAAATCTTGGAAAAGTACTTTGATCAACTCTTTCGATGCAACTCTTTCTTGGCTAAGAAGCACTGCCAGCTCAGTGGCCTACCTAGATTACCATAGCTTTATGGGTAGGAATTAGATGCAGGAGGATGCTGATGAGCCTCCTAATTTATGCATTATATAGGCCGGTATTACTTAAACAAACTAAATAACAAAACTGCAGTCATCATGACTCAGACTAAACAACGAAGCCTAACTGAAAAGTTTGGGTTTGTTGGGTTTTTTTACTGTATCTTAAAGACATATCCTAACACTATGAATCAGAGGCCTTGAAAAAAAGAACTTCTGAACTTTCCCATTAAAAAGAAAATTTGCCTATATATTTTACCAAAAGCATGCATGTTTTGTTTTATTTTTAAATCTTCTCAGATTTATAGGCTTGTATAAGTTGGTTTTCACTTGAGTTATTTGAAATATGACGTTCAGCTCTGTATTAGTAACTGCTCCATCACTTAACATCAGAAGATCTCATGCAAGAAATGCCGACAAAAATTAATTCTTATCCTGCACTGGACACACTTCCATATATTATCCATCATAACAACTCTACCCATATTTTTTGTTGACTATTTACTGTATTATTATCTTAACCTCAGCTAAAAATAAATCATAGTAGAGTTGAGAAAATCCTTAGGGGCAAGGATGATCTAAAAAAATCCCAAGATGCAGCATTCAGAAAACAAACTGAATAACGAGAGCAGCAAGCATCACAGTCAAAGGGAATTTACCCATAAGACTCCTTTTCTTTCCAGTTAACATAAAAAAAGGCAGGCAAGGAACAAGAATAGTAGGGACAAGCACAGGACAAAGATAACCTGAAGAGGCTGCACGGGGCAAGGGAGGCAGACTGCCAAAGCCCAATCAAACATGTAGGAAGATCTCTGACCATCTAAAAATTTTCTCTCCTGCACTTTCTGCCATAGAGAAGAAACTTCCTTCAATTTTTCATTTCAAAGCACTTTTAAAACATCACAGGGATCATTTACACAGCAGCAGTCCAGTAGCACAATACTCTGCTCCAGATATGTTTCAATAACAGTTGCCAAAACAGGATCTGCAAGGAACATTAACTGTGCATTTAAAAATCTGATCATTGGTTTGATAGTCTACTACAAGTTTAATCAGTTTAACCCATAAGAACCAACTGCATCATCAATTGTATGGACTTGTGTATATTTTTTTTTCTAAACGTCAGCTATTTCTGATGATATTACAGCTGCATTTTAAAAGCCGAAGTTAAAGAGCTCCAAAATGTATGAATCTGTATTATATATGAGTGTAAGGTTGTTATGTTAACACAATTTAATTGTTGTTTACAGAACTCAAAAGA